GGCTTTTTTCAGAGGAAAAGATGTTTTTGCTCGTCTCCCGACTGGTTTCGGCAAGAGTAGCCTGGGTGTGGTTGTGTTTTCGTCGTCGCTCTGTTACGTCATATGCTTCGTTGATCTGATTGGTTTATTTGGCCCGTCTATCACCAACATAGGCCAATCAGCTAACCAGTATTTTCGGCCCTTCCCAAAATTACTTCAGCGGAAGGTTTCCAAATGGATATGCGGAGCAAATCCATCTGGCGGAACAGGCTCTACGCTCATTTTTAAGGATGTTTTCGCCATGCTGTTTGTTTACACTCCCCCACCAGCTTTCTGTCGCGCTTCCTACATCACAGTCAGTTGCTCTCATTGGTCATAGCGTTGGCCAATAGGCACAGACATGGTTAGAAAGACAACGGTTGTTCTCATCAACAATCTTCTGATGTCTCATTCATCTTGGCCAGACTAAATTACACATTTAATCTCACATTTAGTCTGTTTTATCAGGCTAAGGTTTTCCAAAAAACAATGCAGTTCCATAATATTTAAGATATATCCCTTGTGTCCCATTGTATTTAATTCTTATTCACTACAAATAAAAAATAAAACAAACCAAACATAATACTTACTAATACTTACTTTGTTAAGGCATCTTTAGAAGTTTAACCAAATTTGTTATGGGCTGTTTTATCAGAGTGTGAGTTTTATTAATGTTTGGATTGGTTTACTCCTTAGGGAGCAACACTGGCATTGGCAAAAGTACAGCCTTGGAAATAGCAAAAAGAGGAGCGAGAGTGATACTGGCCTGTCGCAACAAAGAGAAGGGTGAGACTGCAGCTTTCGACATCCGCGCGGTAAGTCCTCAAAGACCCAAACAGCTCGACACAGAAGGCACTGTCAATTTAGAAATCACTAACTCAATAAAAACAAATATAATTTTCTTTCTCTCTGCTGGGGGATCATGGAGGCAAAGGCAGACATACAAAACAAACATAGAAGAAATAATCCATGAATACATTTTATGTTCACTTCAAATTTAATTCAGTTTTTTTTTATTTTTCTCAAGGCACTTTACAGTTCACCAGATCATCCATTCAAATTGATTTAAAGTTTTCTATCTAAGGAAAACCAGTTGATTGCATCGACTCATTGACTCGAATGCAATCCCCTCACACTAAGCATGCTTGTAGCGACAGTGGAGAGGAAAAACTCCCTTTTAACAGGTAAAACAATAACAATAAAAGTCCCTTTTATTTTGTGGGGAAGGGACTTGTGGTTATTTTTTGATGGCCATTTTTTCAAATACAAGAACTGAGAAACTAAATATTCGGTTGTTTGTCTCTGTGTAAAAATAAATTGTCATTCATTGTACCTAAGGGGCTACACATTGAAGTGTATGGTCCTTGTGTGACCAGTTAGAAAAACAGCAACACAGAAACAAACTAACAAGACATCATTTTGCTCTAAAAAAACAATCCTTGTTGTCATGGGGGATACCTGGCTGGAACATCTACAATAATCCAAAAATAAAATCCCACTTAGAAGCTATTGTAGTAAACCTTGTAAAACCGTTACAGGATAGCTCTTGTTTAATGCCAACATATCAGAAACAGAAACACTTGAAAAAAGCTTAAATTGTGGTAATATGAACATAGAAACATGAACACAGTTTTCATTTCTTTTGGTAAGTTTTGTAGATATTTTTAGTAACAGCCGTGTTCCCTACTTGTGCTTCAGGAGAGCGGGAATAACCAGGTGCTGTTCATGGAGCTGGATCTGGCAAGTTTGAAATCTGTTCGCCGTTTTGCTGAAACCTTTCTAAACACTGAACCCAGGCTGGACATTCTCATTAACAATGCAGGTGGGGTTGCTTCCTTGTTAGTACTCTCCACTAAGTTTGTTTGAGTGCATCATAAGAACATAAAAGATAATTAAAAATAAACCGTGACTCATATTGTGTTTCAGGTGTAATCGGTCCTGGATATACTGAAGATGGTTTTGACCTGGCCTTTGGGGTAAACCACTTGGGCCACTTCCTCCTGACCAACCTTCTCCTGGAGCGACTTAGGCAGTGTTACCCCAGTCGAGTGATCACTGTGTCTGCACACCTACACCGCTTTGGGAACATAGACTTCCATCTGCTGGCTTCACAAAAAGAAGCAGTGTCCAACCAGTCCACCTGGCACAACTTTCAGGCTTACTGTAACAGCAAACTCTGTAATGTGCTCTTTACCAGGCAGTTGGCTAACCAACTGGAAGGCACTGATGTCACCTGTTATGCCCTGCACCCAGGTCAGTACCAACACCTTCTGCTTCTGAAAAAGCTAAAAGTGATTATTGAATTTAAAATATTCTGCAATCCAGTTTAAAGTAAATATTTACAAATCTTTCCCCTGCAGGAGTAATCTACACAGAACTATGCCGTAATATGAGCCAGTGGTTGCAGCTCCTCATGATGCCCTTAGCAAAGCTCTTCTTCTTGGACCCAAAGGGAGGGTCTCAGACCACCCTCTACTGCGCTCTCCAGGAGGGCATTGAACCTCTCAGTGGGAGTTACTTTTCAAACTGTTCACTGTACAAAGTTGGAGCAAAGGGGGTAAATGATGGTGTCGCAAAGAAGCTATGGGAAGTAAGTGAAAGGTTAACGGGCATAGGTCAAATAAACCAATAGTTTCAACCAAAGCGCCAAAGCCATACAGCCTTTAAGTGTTCTTATGAAGTCCATTGTGTGTCTGAAGTGTCCTTATATTTTTAATGCTTTAATAATATAGAGGATCCTTCTAAAAGTTTTCTGTATGTCTGTCACCTGATATCATGTATAATGTCTGCTGAGTTTGTTGTTGAACAAAGATTTGAAGAGATCCACTGATGGCTGCTTGAAAAACAACATTTTCTGAATATAAAATGTATTTTGCTTTTAATGATCTTATGTATTGATTCCAGGTTTGATTATTAAACTCATTATCAGCATCCGTTCTCCTTGGTGGTTTTAGCTTACATTAAAGTAACATTTTAGATAGAGCTACTATTTCTGAAACCCAATTCTGATTAGAATGTTAAAAAATTGCTGAAGAATAAATGTAACCTCATATTTTGTATTTTATGTCTATATAAATCAAAACAATTGTAAAATGAGAGTGATGTACATGTGGAAAAAAGTGGCACTAATGTTTTTCTTTCATTTAGAATTCTTTCTCATAAGATGTTTGATGTATGAATAGTTTATAGTGTTTTTTACATACAGTATTGCAGAGTAAATAGGTTGTTTGATAAAGTCTCTCCAACCGAATCTGATCTGATTTAGTAAAAAATAATTATCTCCATACAGGCTTGCGGCAAAGGTGAAAATTTTTGACAAAGATATATATATTGCATAACATTTCTTTAATAATGACACTGTGGGGTTTTTCATGCTTCCCATTTTTATGTTACTATTTACTCCAGTGGCGGCTGGTGAAAAATATTTTTGGTGGGGCTGATATAGCCTAGTGTATGTCTCCAACTAATCCAGAATAAGAATTCAAATAAACAATTGGACAATAAATACAATTTAACAGTAATGATTTAATTTACTATATAATAACAGTAACAGTGATGATTTTGGTCACAATAACCATGACATGAAATTTTCATATCCTACAACAGGGATGTTCTGCCAAACGGGTAGTTAAATAAAGATCTTACCGAATTTGTTACGTTCGCCATCGTCCCTCTAATTGTCTGCACCTGCGCATTGGGTGCAGAAGCCTGTTAAAGGGCAGTATTTTCAGCGCCCCAAGACCATAAAATTCTGAGACGCTGATTGGCCATTAAATTATTAAATTGACCTAGCAATAGTACATGATTGGCAGATTCTCTGCACATGTGGGGCAGTCTGATCAGTGCCCCAAGACAGAGACGGCCCCATATGGGCTGGCTGCCACTGATTTACTCTACAGTTGAGTTTATTTATATAGCACAATTCACAACACGTCCTCTCAAGGCACTTTAAAGAGACAATTCAACCAGATTATACCATCAGATTGATTCAAAGTTTTTTTTCTAGGGAAAATAAGTTGATTTCATCAACTCATTGACTCAAAAGCTATCCCTCACTACAGGCATGCTTGTAGCGACAGTGGAGAGGAAAACTCGCTTTGAACAGGAAGAAACCTCCAGCAGAACCAGTATCAGTGTGAGCGGCCATCTGCTGAGGCCAACTGGGGTTCAAAGAGATACAAAAGACAAATGTCAACCGGCTCCACATGCGGCCACTTCTAGGAAAAACAGCCAGCCAGATGAGCTCCGAGCCAGTTTCCATGTCAGAGGATGAAATGGAGCACATCCAGTTAGTCTCAGTCATAGAAACAGGATTACACTGAAAAACAGGCCAAGCTCCAGCATTTATAAACAAAGGTGTTGATTGCAGCAGCACAGCTAATGAAGCAGTGCTGCTGATGAAGATGAAGCTACTATGATGAGAAAAAGCAGATAGAGTATTAAGTTATGTATGGAACTTAACAGATACTGCAGAACGGGAGAATATATTGTAGATAGAATGAACCAGAATGAGGCATTCTATATTTTTAGCAGCATAAATATAGAAAATAGCTCAAGATTACCGAACTATTTGGGATGAAGTCAAGGAGAAACATCTGTCTGGACTGAAATTTTCCCCTGCCAGATGTGGCCGTTAAAAGTAGACATAGTGTCTGCCTCATGGATTAGTGAGTCCATGAGGCAGACACTATAGTGTTCACCAGTGCCGTTCTAGACTAGTTCTACCAAGAGATCTAGGCTGGGGCCGGTGTTATTTTTGTGGCGACCCACAGAAAAACAGTCACACAGAAAAACAGTCGCACAAAAAACACAGACATAATTCATAATTTCAATATATCAAGAAAGCCAAGCAGCCATGATGATTCTGGAGAATTGTGTCCCTACTGGTTCCAAGTCAGTTCCAGTTTCTTTGCAAAAGCAGATCAGCATATAAAATTGATTTTGTATTATGTCAGTACAGTACAGGGGCCATAATAGGGTCCGGGACCAGTTCTATAGGGCCCCTGTTGGCCCTTGGGTTAGGGTTAATTAGTGTTACACTGTTGGCCTATGCTATGGCTTGGATGAAGATAACATTAAACTGATATGAAATTTAAAGTATTATGGAATATTGGTTTGACTCTTTCCATGTTTTTCCAAATTGCTACATCAACAATCATATGGCATTTTCTTTTCCTTCAATGCTTTGGTTATGACTGTCAGGGATGGCGGAATCAATACCTAATGTGAGAGAGGTAAGAGAGACAATCAGCTTTCAAGGAGCAACAGGAGAGGGAGGAGTGAGAAAACGAAGGGAGAAAAGAAGTACAGCAAGCTCAAGAGAGGAACAGACTGGAGGCACAGTCGGAAAATTCAATGTCTAAACTGTCAAATGCTAATATAGAATAAGTTAATTTAATTAATTTGTTCAAAATATTTATTCACCAATTCATTCAATTCATGCAATTACAGTTTTGATTTTATGGATGTGACGCCCAGTGCTATGATGATTGTGAGCACAGGATGTATGAAATATTGCCCTAGCATACCTCTGTTCATAACTCACTGAAATGGTTCTTTGCTTTATAAGAAATATTTTAGTATATTCAGTATTAGTTTATGTTGAGAACTGTTATAGGTGAGACATACACTCACCGGCCACTTTATTAGGTGCACCCGTCCAACTGCTCGTTAACACTTAATTTCTAAGCAGCCAATCACATGGCGGCAACTCAGTGCATTTAGGCATGTAGACATGGTCA